TTGTGTGAGGGGGGGGACACGGACGGGGAACCGGCACCGGGGCACGGGGGTCAGTTCTGCAACGCCGTTGTGGCCAGTCTGAGAAAGGTGGGGAACAGGGAAAACGTACCAAATAAAAAAAAACAACAGGGCGTTTTGTAAAAAAAAAATATATATATATATATATATATATATTTAAAAAGGTAAAAAAAAAAGGGTTAAAAAAGTTTTTAAAATTATTAAAGTAAAAAAGCCAATTAAAAAGTAGGAAATAAGCTGAGAAAGGCAGAGGAAGGATGAAATCTGGCCCTGACTGGCATCCTTCAGGCTCTCTTGTGCCTCCAAGCACTCTGCGTTTTATGAGGGAGGGAGGGACAAGCCCATAAGCCCCCTGGAAGAGCTGCTCTCCCCTAACCACCCCTCCCCAGCCCCGGGATCCCCCATCTCCAGTTGCTTTCTCTGAGACTTCTTTTCCCGTTGCTGCTTCTGGAGTTATTCCGCGGGGTTTGAGGAGGCACAATGTATGAGCTCCAAGGCACCATCTCAGTCCTGAAGCCAAGGAGAAAGCTGGGAATTGACCTGAGCTCCCTCCATTCTACAGAAAAGCAGAAACTCTGTAGGGGAAAGCTGTGAACTCTAAGGCTTATCCTGGTAGCTCAGTAACCCTCGTTGGCTCTCAACAAACTGCACACTAGGAATAAAGTCTTACAGTGCCTCGTACACAGTTACTAAGGAAATCCTTGCTATGTCGGTGCTGCCACAGGAGACCCAGAAGAGTGCTACCCACAGGTGACATAACCGAAGCCACCACTTCTTACTTAGTAGTGGCTGAGCATCAGTTGTGGCAGCGCTCAAGAGATAACGGAATGACCGCTGCTTCTTATTTCTGGTTTTCCTAAGACTCATGTTGGGTGGGAAACACCAGTGGGCATACCAGCAGAGGGGTGGAGGGGATGGGGAGAGCTCACCAGGGCAGCCCTCTGGACCCAAGCACCATCACTGTTTCACTGGAGCCAGACGCCACCATTCCCACTTTCAGGGACTGGCTTATACTCAGTCCACTGGAGATGCTCAAACAAGTGATCAAACAGCCAAAAGAAAGTGATGGCAATTATAACCGCACCCTGGTTTGAGGAATTCTCTCAGATCTTTGGCTTTTTCTGGAAGTCCACGTAGCACGTGTTTGGGTTACACCTTTCCACACAGCTTGGTTTGGGTTTTGTTTTTCTCTGTGCCCCTGTGCTGTCATTCAAGCCTCTGTTACTGCTTAACTGGATAGCTAAAATATCATGAAGACCTTGCGCGTTCTGAACATGTTTATTTGGAAACTTTCATTGATGCTGAATGTTTTTGGTCTAGTAATGTGCTGATGTACCACAATCACCCACAGAGCACAGCATTCACCTCTAGTCCTGGATGAGGCTTCTTCTGATTGCTTTTGAGCTTTAAATCCTTTTTTTCAAACTGGAAGGAAGGCTGTGTCCTCCCCCAGCTGCTCAGTGCGGGCAGACCACTTGTGCTAGCCGCACCCCTCCATTCGGAGAGCTTGGTGCGGATGGGGGTGCGGGATGCTCCTGGAGATGAACTTGCTGACTGGGAAGCGTTTTGGTGTTTTATACACCAGACAAACCGCAGTGAAATAACTGGAGGTAGGTGTCCTGCTGCTCTTGCTCGCTGCGGACACCGGAGGGAGCTGCAGCCCACCGGCATGCGAAGCCCCGTTTTTCCTTTTGCAGTCCAAGCACATTCCTCGAGAGATCTGACTCTGTCTGCAGGCCCTGATCTGGTATGAAGGCTTTCCTCTTAGCTCTCCTGTTTGTCAGTCTACTAGATCCACAGCTGTTTAACTGGTTTGGTTTTTGGGACAGAAAATAATCTTGTTATTTTTTCCCCCATCCTTGCCCCATGACATTGTCAAATGTAGCTGGACAGCCCTCAACGGCTGGGAGATAGCAATAATTAACATCCTTCTGCACCTTCCCTGCTCATTCACATTTCTGTGCTGTCTTTCTCTAGCCCAGGGTATTCTGGGGACATCTACAGCAGATGACTCAAGGCAAAGCACTCTTCCCTCTTAAAAATTCAGGTTATCAGTGCCACAGTATAGTGTGAAGGAGAACTGTGCCTCCATAAATAGCATGGGTGACTCATAGAGGAGACACTTTCATACCCATAATTCCTTAAACTGTGCTGACCACAAGGACCTGTAGGTGTGTAGCTAAGATCAGAAGCAGTGACAGTGATTCAGCAAAAAGTTACCTTCTTTCCAAGTTGGTACTGATGCCATTATGTTACCAGGGATATTATAGCGATGGTGGAGTGGTATTTTGGATGAAACACAAAGTCAGCCTCCTTGGAAATTAAAATCTCCTGGTGCATTTCACCCCAGAGATTACAGCATCTCAGCAGATAGGTAAGTGACCCCGGCGCATAATATTTTTAAAGGTCTTGGAGAGGCATTTAAATGCCTGCTGATTTCTTTCCCTCTCTTTGACTCCCTGGCCTTCACATATCCTCACGGTAACTGGGCATTAAGTTACATCTGAGTGATAAGAAATTAATGAACTGCTGTGAGATGTTTGAATGTATCACGTCAATAATGCAGCACTACTGGTCACGTGAACTGGGGCTGAAATTAATTTTCTTGGGACCCACACTGCTGATGGGCTCCATTAATTTCCGAGTTCTGGCACTCTCCTGCAGTTGTTCCACTGGTGTTGCTGAGGTCAGCAGTGGGAAGAGACATGAGATCAAGGCCCATCCATCTATCCCTACTTTTGGGCAGTTCACATCTGACTTTGTATCCAACTCATTGTAGATGTATGAACACTGCAATGTACAGGAGCCTGGACATGATCCACCTCTTTTTTGACTCATGGTCATGCTTTCTGTTTTCCATCTGCAAGGATAAGGAAATCTTCACCCCTTTATTTCCAATTCAGCAAGCCAGTGCTTAGGGGTCAGGCAGTCTTTCAGTCACAAAATACCCTAAGGGAGTCCATGAAACTCTTAGTTAATATGTGCTCAGCCTCTTCAAATCAGTTCAACATTTGTGAAGAATTGAGCATGAAAAGAAGCAGTGGGTGAGCTCTTTGCTCTTTGGTGGGTGAGTTGGACATGTGCTTCAGGCTTCTCATGGCCAAGGCGGCTATGGTGAGAAGTTGTCAGGAGTTTCCTTCTCTGTTTTTTTCTGCAGTTCTTAAAGATCCTTCCTTTCTGGTCCTTTGTACTGTCTCAGGGCTGATTCTTCCTGGCTGTTTCACATGTCCCTCGGCACCCCCTGTTCTCCAAGCAGCTGACCTCAAACACTGCTTCTCTCAGGGCACTTTTTCCAAGCGCACTCTCTCAGGGAGACAGGTAGCACTTTAAGCATAACAAATGTATGAATCCCTCCTGTAAGCACAGTTATGTGTGTCCACATAGACTTTGGACCACATAGAAACACCAGCTTTAATTCAGCTGGTGCAAGTTTTCCATCTGGACAAGGCTGAAGTCATGAGTTAAATGCCAGTTAAAGACATGATGGATTCCTCCTCCCTTTCTCCTAACTCTTCCAGACATCACAAACCCTGGACCAAAGTCAGCAGGATTAATCCTCCCATTGCAGTACAGTGATCGTGCACCGGAGCAGTAACCAGAGCTGGCTGAAGAAGTCACTGCTAGGAAGCAGAGGGGTGTTTTACACCTGTGCAGAGAGGTTCAGCAGAGCTGGTCTGGTGCAGATCAAGTCACAGCTGAGCTTTCCACACAACACAGCACCTGCCTCACTTGAGGTCCAGCCTTTTGTACCATGTTATTGTCTTCTAGTACTTCTCCAAGGTGGAACAGATTTTGGTAGCTTTGCCTACGCTAACAGCCCAAAACCAGGAGTGGTGCCCCCCCCAGGCCTCCCCCCAAGTAGACCAGCTTCAAAAGTGACACCCTGAAGGGGCTACTCTGACATTCAACATCGCAGTGCTGAGGTCTACATGCTCGCAGGTCCTCACACAACCTTGTGAGTCCAGTAGTAAGGCTACGGAGAGAACTGGATATTACAAGATGTGATGAAATTGGGACAGCTCACAGTGCCTGAATTGGATATGCCCTTTCAGTTAGAAGTGGCATCAGAGGGAGGTAGGTGTGCAGGTGCATGCATAGAGGATGCTTCATGTGCCCATAGACTGGGAGCAGGAACAGCAATTTAAAATATTTATATCATATCATATATTATATTAATATTATAGGATACCTTGTAAGCTTTTAAATATATTCAAGGAAGGGGGCAAAAGTGGCAACTTTAGAAGTGATTTGCTTTAAATTCTGTAACATTCAGAAAAAAATCTGTTGTCAAGGCC